CTGGTTGGCACCTGCACAGCGCTGACCCCAGGCAAGGGCACTGAAGCCAGAGCATGGGTTTTTTGGATGCTGGTTGATCCTGCAAGCTTTCCTGGGCAAGCACCAGCTCAACATACCCCATCGTGCAGGGTGGCAAGCTTTGCAAAAGGGTGGCAGGAGTCCTGGAGCACCATGGTGGCGGACCTATGGCGCAATTTGGAAGAGTCTGAGTGGGCACGATTGGGCCTTCTGCGCGTCCCTGCCAAGCTGCTCAAGAAGGACCAAGGAGACCAGAGAGCCTGGCAGCAGTACAAGGTTGCCCAACAATGCGCAGGCCAACGTGCTGACCAAGAAGCACCACGTGAACTCCTGCAGCCGTTGCAAGAAGCAGACAAATGGCACGGTGAGGTCTACCAAGCTGCCGCGGGTAGAATTGCGGCCCTGATGCAGGACAAGGACCACTACATGCTATGCACGAGAAGCTGACCAAAATTGATCCTGAATTCAAAGTCAAAGTCAAAGCACCGCTTGGGAGGCTTGAGATTCTGCAGAAGCTCACCCAGCGTCAGCCGGCAGAAGGACAACATCCATGGATGCTCAAGGGGGGTGGACTTCAATGCAGTGCATGTGGGATGAATGTGAAAGCATCCTCCACCCATGCCGAGATCTCCAAGAAGGGTGGCTCTTTCTGCGCAGGCCTTCGGAGCAAGACACTGCTACAGCAAATGCAAGAGCTGGTTGACACCAGTGCAGCTAAGCCAGAGGACCTCCCGGGGCACAGATGGGCATTGAGGGGCCATTCTTTCAGCTGCCAACGGTGTTGGCGCAAGGCGCCAAAGAGATGTGGCAAAGCAGCTCTAGAGGCCTTGACAGGTTTGGAGTGCCGCTATGGTCAAATCCATGAAGGAGAGCTGCAACTGCGTTCGAGGCTTCACATGAGCCACAATTTCTGGCGCAGAGGAGAGTGGGTGTCCTGCGCAAGGTGCAGCAGGAGTGCAAAGCCCAGAGATGGAAGGGTCCCAAGCTGGATGCAGACTGAGTGCCCAAGAAGGACAGGGCAACAGAGATTGCCGTTTGGGGCCACTACCTTTGTGGTGGAGATGGGCATGCTTGTAGAAATTTCCCCGGTCCAAGGAGAAGGAGCCTTGCCGGGACCCGCTTTTCCCTGAGGGCGCGGGAGTCGAGGAAGCAAGACACAAAAGAACCGAGAAAAAAAAGAGACGGCGCACGCCGTAGCCTGGCTCAAGCCATTTTGGCTCAAGTTTCGGCTCAAGGGTCCTCAGATGGCTCAAGCAGGTTTTCGACGTTCTCGAGGTGACTGGAACTACATCTTTGTTGGTCTCTTTGACCTGACCTATCTAGTATAGAGGGTGGCTCCTCCTGAAGAAGGTCTTGATGATGACTGGATGGGAGTACGCCAGGAGAAAGGCCAGACCCTACTGTGTATGCCAAGGATGCAAGGTGTCTTGGATTTGGAGTGACCGCATCTCGGCTACCAGGTGGGGTTGTGACAAGCGTGGCACGGCATGGCCAGACAAAGGGCAGTCAAGAGCCTTTGTGAGGTCACCGAGCAAGAAGATGAGGAAGCCCCGAGGAAGAGATCGTGTGAGTGTGGACCCACCACCGGGGCTTGCAGGTAAAGTCAAACACCACAACAGTGTAGTTGAAAGCACACTGAGAAAGGCTTGGACATCCTTACCCAATGAGTTCCAGACAGCATTGAAGGAGTTGGTGCTCAAGGCGCATTTGGAGTCATTGCCCCAGGAGGTCAAAGATGTGGTGGAAGGTCTGCTGAAACCTGCTCCAATGGCCATTGTTGACGTGACGGGACAATTGAAGGCCACTGTGGGAGAGCTGAGACAGCTCTCCACCAAAAAGCAGTCGTTGCAGAAGAAAGTTGACCAGGCCAAGGAGCAGTACAAGACCCTGCTTGACGAGTTGAAGATGGTTCAGGAAGCAATTGACAAAGAACATAAGCAACTGGGAGATCAATCAGAAGCTTATGCAAAGCAGTTGAAGGAAGAGGCCTTGCCCAGCACTCCACCTGCAGAACATGTGTTGGACCCTGACACTACGGAGCATGTCATGAAGGCCATGGGGCAAGCGGGCATTGTTTTCACCCTTGAGCAGCTAAAGGAGTTGGAGAGAAATCTGGCTGAAACGCTCGCCAAGCGGCGCAAGACGGCTGGTGAAATCCCATTGAGTGGGTAACAGTAGATGTGACACCAGATTGGAGGGAAAAAAGGGGAAGTCGTGCACAACAGTGGAGGGGACCTGTTGGCATAGAAGGCCATGCACCAGTTGGTTCGGGCGTGGCCGGAAAGCCAAAGAGGTGAGCTGATGTCTGCTTGGAGGGTGTCTTGGAGGAGGTTGCAAGCAGCAGCACACCCGTGGATTGTTGTGGCTGGACCAATGGCAGCGCTGCAGACGTACTTGATGGAGATGGGTTGGGATGCCTCAGTCTTGGATGATTGGATCCGACCGGCCACTGCGCTGCTGCCGCCAAATCAAATGAGCCTTGACTACCCATGGCCGCACCTCCTGCGTCAGCTGAGAATTGAACAGAAGCATCAAAGGGCCCGGAGGATTCAACAGTTGGAGCATTGTTTTCCGCTGATGAGGCAGCCAGACTGGACGGTCTATCACAAGGTGGCCAAAAATCTGAAAGGACCAGCAAGAGCAGCTCTGGATGCCTGGGCACAAGGGTCCTTGCGGACACGCAGCTCTGGTGAGAGGGTGTTGTGCCCAATCTGCAATGTACCGGTCACCATGAAGCACCTGATATGGCAGTGCAAGTATCATCAGGAAGGCCTTCCGGCTGAGTGGCAGCAAAGCATTCAGGCTAATGAAGATGCCATGCTGTGGGCTAGGGGCCTCATTGAGTCTCCGTCTTTCATCCCTGTTGACGGCCCGGAATCTTGTCAAGTCAGTGGGGTCCTGGCTCATGGCTGGCCGGTGAGGATTGGCCCAGCACATCGTTTGGCTCTTGGAGTACATGCCACCTGCAAGGATGCCCGGATCAAGAAGTTTGCTGTTGCCTTGACTGTTGGAGTGTGGCAAGAGGGATCATGGCAAATTGTGGGCACCTGCACGGCATTGGCACCTGGGCAGGCCACTGAGGCCAGAAGCTGGGTTTTTGGTATTTGGCTCCTGCTCCAAGCTGTCCTGGGCAAACATCAGGTCAACATCCCTTGTAGAGCTGGGTGGGCAGCTCTCAAAGGAGGAGCAAAAAGTATGACTGCACCGGATCTGTGGCATAACCTGCCGGAAGATGAGTGGCACAGAGTCCAGCTTCTACATGTGCCGCAGAAGATGCTCAAGGATTCTGGCGATGACTCCAAAGCCTGGCTCCAGTATGTGGAAGCAAAAATGGCGGCAAAGCACAGGGCTGAAAAGGAGGCACCTTTGGCCTTGGAGGCTGAATTGAAAGAAGAAGACAGGAAACATGCCGGCATTTATGAAGTTGCCATTGCCCGCATCGCTGCAGTGCTGGGAGATCCGGAGCACTACATGCATGCCAATCTAGAAAAGGTTGAAGTGGAGTACAAGGTGGCACCTGCCAAGCCTAAAGGCCGGGCTGAGCTGTTCAATCAGCTGGTGCAACAAACTCCGGTGTCTGGGCAACACAAGTGGCTTCATCATCGAAAAGGTGTCATTTGTGAGTTGTGCGGGAAAAAGATCAAGTCTTGCAGCACTCATAGTGAAATCAGCAGCAAGCAAGCGACTGCGTGCACAGGTTCGGTCACGCTGACTCTGAAGCAGATTATGACTGCTTTGGCGCAGGACACTGAGGGCATGCCGGATGAAGTGGAAGGCCATATATAGATGGCACATTGGGGCCACCAACTTCAGTTGCAAGAGGTGCTGGGCAAAGATTCCGCTTAGAAGTGGGAAGGACGCCCTAGCAAGGCTCCAGACCTCGGCATGTCACTATGCCAAGATGAAGGAAGCTGATATGGATCTTCGGACACATGTCCACACGTCCCATGAAATCTGGCGGAGGGGTTCCTGGTATGAATGTCAGAGATGTGGGCGCACCACTCGGGAACATGATGGGAAAGTTCAGGCTTGGATGGCCCAACTCTGCGCCAAGACTTCCGGGCAACGGACACTTCAATTTGCAAGGAAGAGCTCAGATAGCTGATGCACAGGAGCGAGATTCCGATCCTAGGATGGATGCAGTGTGGCTCATCCGCTGCAGTTGAGGCCGAGTAAAAGGAGAATGAACCTTTCTCGGCGGGCCACTTTTGGCTAGAAGCTGTGGCCTTGTTCGTGCAGACACAAAAGGACCGAGAAAAAAACGGCGCACGATGTACAATGAAGATGGCTGCGCAATGTGACATAATGTGACACGAGGTAGATGTGAGATGTGAAAATGTGCAGCCGTAGAAAAGGATGAAAATCATGAAGTTTCAAGGCCCATGAAAAAATCACGACAGCTGTTACAATCGTTTGTCACCATATTTACACTTTACATGAAAATTCAAGCACATCTCGAGCGATACTCTTCTGCATGCTGGATACAGCACTAGGGCGCATGTTTCTTGTGGCATTCTATTCCCCTTCTCAGACACCCGTCAAACTAGCGACACGCCCTGAATCAGGGCCTGAGACGCGATGACTTGGTTTTGTCACGAGGTCGAGTTCCGCAAAGCCCACAAAAAGCTTCAGACACGCAAACACACTCTCCTAGCGCAATTGAAACACTTAGTGACTTAATCTGCGGAACCAAAGAGGGGCACCCATTTTGGGGGTGGGCGGGAAGAACTCAAGATACATAGCACATGGTGATCTATCTTCACTTGTGGGCCCTCTTAAAATCAAATTGTTATCCATTCACATGCACTGATCAACCTTGCAATGTGATATGTACTCCTTCCAGCTTTCATTTCACAAACAAATTTGTTACACGAAAACTGCTACAGTCATCTGTCACCTCCTACCAGCACCCTGTTACAGTTGTTTGTCACCTCCCACCAGAACCCTATTTACACTTTACACGTAAATTCAAAACAAAGCTCGGGCGATACTCTGTGCACCCCTTTCCTTTCAAGATCTTGGCCATCTTTGAGTGCTCCCATGCACAGGAGTCTTCCGGATTCTCCAGTGACCAAGTCTTCCCGATGAGCGCCCCAAACTTCTCGAGTATCTTGTTGACCTCCTCCCACCCAGCCTTCGGGCCAGGCGTCGGCACCAACAACTTGCACATTGCCACGCGCATCGGACCACCTCGCGCGAGTGAGGCTTCGACACGGGAAAACTATATGGGCGTGGTCTGCTTCTGCTGCTGCCTTCTTTGCCTTCTTCGCCTCCTTGAAGCCCGCTGACAAAATGCTCCAGTTTCCAAGCACATCCAGTGGCTCCATGACTTTCGCGACATGGCTGCTCATTCTCTTCACTTCTCTCGAAAACCTGGCTTTTCCCGCAAAGAGCTCTAAGAAATTGAATTCCTTGCGCTGGCTACATCTTCGCAATTTTGGCAGGCTTTGGGGTCACAAGCGTTTCCGACGGATCCTTCTCCTTGTCGACTCTCATCTCCTCTGCACTTGGCATGGCTATGCACACCCCGTGATCTTGGATCACACGGTGCACCTCCATGCCTTTCAGCTTCAGCGTCTCTTCCTGTCAGCTCTTGTTCTTGGACTTGCTCTTCCCTTTGCCCTTGGACTTGGTTTTCTCTGGGCATTGGGAATTGGGATGTCCACCTTTGCACGCCTTTGCACAATCTCCAGGCTTCCCTTTGCAAATCTCAAGCAAAGCTCGTGGCCCGCCGCTCTGGTGGCATACTGTTTCCCCCAATGCCGCTGACCTCAAGAGCTTTGTGGTTCTCTTCCTCAACTTGTTTGAATTCCTTTTTGCGAGTCGGCCCGTCTTCCTCCAACCCAAGTGATTCTTTGGCTGGAGGTGGGACGTTCACTCGCTCGGCCTCGTCCTGGTGTGTGGACTCCAGTGTGGACCATACCAAAAGCCGCATGGGTGAACACTCCAACTCATGGCCGTTGAGGCAACAAGTCCAGTTCATGGGCAACTGAACATTCCGACCGACGATTGTCCTCCGCCTTCATGATCAAATGCCAGGTCTCCAGAAATTCCTGGTTGAGCTTGGCCACCCTCTCGTAGTGCTCCTCCAAACATGCAGCTGCGACAGCTTTCAACGGATCGTCTGTTGGAGTCGCACCAGGGTAAGGAAGCGTGAACAAGATCGAACGAAACACCTTCCAGCACGCTTTCCTGGTATGCCCCAAGCTTTAAACGCGCCGTCCTGCTGCAACAACCATGACCTTGTCTTCACCTGCTTTTTCATGGTCAGCATTGAGAAGTCCGAGGGACTTGCTCACCGACGGACGATCCTGTCCCTTAGGGCTGCCACCTGTTCTGATGTTGGCTTTGAGCTTGGTCCAGGTTTTGCCCTGACAGAGTCGTCCATTTGGTCTGTCACGCTGGAGACCTTCACCTTCTTTGTGGGCGACGCTCCAGCAGCCGCGTGAGGTGCTGGTGGAACATGTGGAACTGGTGCTGGTTTCTGCCAATCGATCTATGTCGTCCATGTTCAGGGACAGCCTGCCCACAGGCCAACTGTAGGCTATATTGTGGGTCCCCTCCATGGCTTGCAGAGTCCCGAACCCTGGCTATAGTGTCCCGGCCAGCAGGGAGACCATAACCCACCATACAACAATTTTATTTACTTCGTTTCCCCTACAGTTCAAACTCTTAAACGCAACTCGTTTTGCGTGTCGCGTCTACATCACACGACTTAAACTGAAAGATTGCAGTCTCTTTGCAAGCCGATTCTGCCTATTTTAGTTTAGCTCTTCAACCAAGAGGACCCACCTTCTGAGCTCAGCCGATCTGTCTTGAGCAAGCGTTTCATTTGAGTTGGCGGCATTGTGCCCGATTTCTTGAAACTCAAGGAGGGGTGGCCTAATCTGGCAGCCTCTTCCGCAAATTGCTCTGGTGTCCAACGAATGCCCATGGTCACTGTTTGACTCTTGGCTTGCTTGGAACCATCTAAATCCTTGCTGCGGCATCATTCGATTCATGAATGCCTGTGGACAATTCTCGCCTGCCTGTGGTCATCCTACCGTGGGCTTCGAAATTCAAAAAGGTAGGCACATTGTGTACCAGCAGGTGAGCTTGCGTCTGGAGCATTGACTGGAAACGTGTACATAACAGGCCCTCGTGCCAAAAACGACGCAAAAAAATTGTGTTTGCCTGCGTTCTCAATGGTTGGAAGCAACGGCTTGGTTGGCACCTGTGAGGGTAAAGGGCGTCAGAGTAGCGGTCAGTCCTCAACACAGCGGGATCGAAGCGATCTGGTTTCTGGATCAACCGAGCTCGAGAGGCGGCACCGCAGGGCGGTGCAAAGTGGCAAAACAAACAATGTTTCTTTGGGCTTCTCTGTTGGGCAATGGCAACAACCTGAATTGAAGGCTACCGTGGGATGAGCCAGCATGTTGGGCAACATGGATTCAAAAGGTTTCGACCCATCAAGGCGCACTTTCAAGGTTGTCAAGTGCTCGGGCATGTGAAGAAATACGGCCCTATCGGCTCTGAGTACTTGTTGGATTTGGATGGATACTTCCGTGCATGCGCACGCCTTCGCAGCGCCTGGACAACCACAAGTTCAGTGCGGGTGGAACAAGTGAGCTTGGTCTTCTTGTCTCGCAACGTCAGAGTAGAGGAACTTTTGTTGAGAGACAGTTTTTTTTGCGGGTTTTTTGGCTTGCAGCTCGCTGCATCTGGTTGGAGTGCGTTCTGGGCCCAGATAGATAAGCTGACCTCTTTGAGGCGTAGCCCAATGAACTTCTTGCGTTGGGTCTGGAAACAAGGTCTGGAAACTCTTTCAGCATAGGCCATGGTCAGCGCCTGGTCACCCAACCTTCAGGTCGGCTACAATCATTGTCTGTGCTTCAAAAGATACGCCTTTTGGTGGAGGCTAATGTGCCAAAATTCATTGTCGCTGATTCTCCGAAAAGCTCCTGGATCTGAGCGTCGGTGGCTGAAGTGCCTGGAGGGCCAACAGCAAAAGCCACCCGAGCAAGGCTGGTGATGTTGTTGTTCACCAGGGCCTCCACTTCCGCGGTCGTGAGATGTTTTCAAGGCGCTGCGTCCTCAAGGCAGCGATAGATTCCAACAGAGTGCTCATGGTCTATATAGAAAGGGACTCAGAACTTTGCCCAAAAAGTTTATCGCTTTATTTAGGTGTCTATTTTAAGCAGTGTGGTGCATGCATTTGTCACCCATCTGCAACACCAAATCGTTTCCATGTTCCAAATCGTTCTGTTCTGAAGTCTAAGCATCATTCATTCGTTGACGCTTCAACATCGAAGCTAAAGCTCCGTAGCCACGCCACGGCACAGCGTTGACGGTACCTGGCGGTGGCGAAAATGCAGTGAGCCACTATCTCGTACTCATCAGGTTCTTTGATTCCACAACTGTGGCGATTCTTCACGGAGCAACGCATACACTACGCGCAGGACCCCCACGGCCAACACCATCAACCAAGCAGGCGATGACACAACCGGACACAAAAACCACACTGAATGCCATGACCAGGACGAATTCAAAATACGAGCGCCTGTGGGCCCTCGTGAAATTCAAATGTTATCCATTCACATTCACTGATCAACCACCCAATCTGACATGTACTTTTTCCAGGTTTCATATCAAGTTTGTTACACCAAATTTGAGTTGAGCAAAGCGCTGAAAGGCTTTAACACCAGTCCCAACTATTTGCCACCAAACCCCACTAATTTTTGCTTTTGCAATGTCAAGTTCAAGCCACTGATTGGGTAATCTTCACCTTGGTGTCAAAGTGCCTGGCCTTGCTAGTCATCAAAGTTGGATTTTTCGCCTCCCGGGCCCGTACCACAGGCAAGGCCCGCTGTGGCGGCTGCAGTGAGCGGCACCGTGCGATGGGCGATTCCTCAGGGTCCGAAGAACCAGAGGAATAGGTCGGGCTCACCTGAGGCCAGACCGCTGGCTGTCTAAACGCTAGGACGTCCGAATGAAAGAATTTTAAGAAAATAGAAAAGTTGTACGAAACCTGTGGTGGCAAAAGGTCACAAGCTGTTCAAAGGCAAAGTTTGGACGGATTGTTTGCAACTGGCAAGTGGGCAACAAAAACCATTGCGCAAATCTCTTCGATGCAAATCGCTCAGACAGTGTTCAAAAATTATGCAGACGAAAGGACCCAAATGGGATGGAGCCACAACGAGGCATCATCGATACACTTAGCCTTTCCACGGGACAGGTTGCACCTTGTTGCCATGAAATTGAGGCCTACCCCTTGCCAGTCGTGGCACTCTCTCCCTTGCTCTGGCGCTCTCCAACCCGCAAACCCCACGCGCCGCACCTCATTCTCCACGTCCAGTTGCTCACGGATCCGAACTGTTTTGCCCTCAACTTCCTCCTGGGAAAGGGGCCCGCTGTCGGCATTAACATGGAACACAATAATTAATTGAAGTGGGTTCGACATTTGGTCGGTGACACAAGTTCAAAACATAGTGACCTGTCATCACCACCCCAGCAAACATGTACTGTAGAGGGTTGAACAACCAATCTGTAGACACCCCTGGCCCTGCCTTCTGGCCCAGGTTCAAGGAGAATGCGAAACATGGTTCCTCTAACCGGGCGTTGACTGGAGGAGTTTCCATGGCGCGGTCCAGGGTTTGTTCCGCGAACGGGTGAAATTAGCTGGAAAGCTGCAGGGAAGAAAATTGCCGGCATGGAGGCGCAAGTGCTGAATTGGGCGCTCCCTTCCTGGCAGGGAAACGAAGGTTGAAACCTACTGCGCGCATCTGCTACTGGAGGTTCGCCTGCCGTGGGCCGGAGGTCCTACTGTGTTCATCTACGATCTACGAATGTTGTGGGGGTTCGTCTGCCATTGTGTGTTTGGGGTGCGTTGTGCCAGCTGGAGGACGAGGGCAAAATCCGCGTTGAAAAAATATACTACCGACCGGTGACTTAGGACTTGTGTGGGCAGTGACATAGTAGTCGTGGCCCACTACTCCTAAGTCAATGGGAACACAAAAATTGCAGAGTTGCTGATTCAAGCTGATGATTATTTTTTTTCTCAGGGACGGAGGGGCATTGATGCACACAGAACAAATGACATAAGAATCGGCCTACTCATCATGTTTCATCATGCCTCCTGGTACTTACAACTCCTATCTCACGTCATTTGTTCATCTTTTCCGGCAGTTTTCTGTTTTTTTAAGGCTATTCTTGTGTCACCATGTTTTGATGTGTTTCTCTACTTTATAGTCCATGACATAGGAGTTGTGTACATTGCTCAAAAATGATTTAAGACCCATGACAAAGGAGTTGTAAAACCCACGATACGTTTACAACTCGGGCAATCATTCCGGTTTGTCCTCGTTCTGCTGTCTCTTGGTGACTGGCATGCATGTCTTGATGTGCGGTCTTCTTCCGCACACCTCTCTTTTTCTCGGAGCCTGCTGCGTGCGAGCGGCCGTCTTTGCGGTCGGGGAGGTGACACAAGCAGGGCGCGTCAGAGGAGAACGACGCGGCCGGGCAGCGCTCCGTCCGCGACCGGGAAGACGAGGTCGCCCGCAGAAAGTCGTGGGGGCGACTGTTTTTATACAGAACGGGCTCCTGGGAGATGTTTGTGCGCAAGAAATTACTGGACCAGCCGGCATAATGATTATAATATGTTTGTTGTCCGGTTACAAAGATCGATGTAGACCACCTCCAGCCAAGGCAAGGTCACGAAAGGTAGCCTTCATGTGGTCTGTTTGAAAAAACAGTTTCACTACACGCGCGGTTTTAAGCCCATTAACATCGGCCCCAAAGCCGGGGAAAACAACCGGCATATATAAATGTATGTGCGTTCTGTTTTTTTGCACAATACAGCCCGGCCGAGTGGAGCCTGAAACCACGTAAATCCCAGGGCGCCATTTGCACATCTGGAAGCTGGCCAGTATAAAAACAGCTCTTTTCACCGGGCTTCTAAAAATCCAGAGACAGGCCTCGAAAGAAGAAAAACAAAAAGAAGAAAAAAATTAAAAAAACGGTGGACTCAGCACATCTGGAGCCTAGCCAGTATAAAAATAGGCCTCGTGGATTTTTGCCCTCTGGACTCGGGCTCCCCTTTCTCCTCCCATGACCCATACACCGAATGCGGTCATCGATCTCACTGGCAGCACACCCATGAACACCGGCACACACCTTGTCACTGACCCCATTTGCGCCGTGTGCCTAGGCCATCTGCTCCCCGAACGGGGCGACGACCCCGCCTTCCATTGGCTCCATTGCAACCACGCCATTCACACCAGCTGCGCGGCCAACCTCAGGGCCCATGAGCAACACCCCGCATGCCCGTCCTGCAGGCACCCCTGGCACCAGACCATGGAAACCCGATTGGACATGCTGTGCGCACAGCACGGCATTGTTGCGCCAGGCCCTGCGCCCAGCAGACCGGCCAGTCCGCGGGGGCCGCAGCCACCACCGCCCCCAAACACAAATGTACCTCTCTGTTGCCACCGGTTGTTCCTTTTGGACGCCAACAATGCACAGCAGGACGCGGCGTGGCAAGAACTGCCAGATCGACACATGGCATGGGCGCCGACCCGTGAACAGAACACCGGCCAGTGGCACCCGGAATGGGTTTGCCTCCGTTGCAACGCGACAGTTCGACCAGACCACGCCTTGTTGCAAACCCTGCCCCCCACCCCAGTTTGCCACACCCACGCGCCCCGATCCCTCGTCCTAGACCTCCACCGCGAGGAAAGAGGGTGGATCTGTTGCCAAGGACCCGCGCCACCTCGGCTCCACCCTTGCCAGCCAGAACAAATCCCCCCCACATCAGCACGCCAGCACGCAGCAACGACCCCAGGAACGACACCAGCAACAGCTACACTGCCTACCACGACCACCACGACATACCACCAATTGCCACCGCAACACGGGGCACCCGGGCCTACCAACAGTTGGCTATATGTGCCGCTGCTCCATGCAGGGGCACGACGACTCACTGTCGAAGCAAAAGCCGCTTGGCAACAACACCCCCATGCCGGCCGACACTGGCCAGCCCTGGTGGAGCAACTCCGAACGGCTGCGCCGGTCGCATGGCAACAACTGCACCAAACTCTCCTTACCATCCAAGAACACGCAACAGCTTCAACGGCAACAACAACAGGAGGTGCCACCTTGTCCACAGCAGAGCAACAATTGCCAGCCCAGCTTGCCGCCGCAAGCGCGCTGCTCCCCCTGAACACTGCAGTGCACCTACCATGGGCACTAAATATCTTCACATCCCCGACGGGATACATACCAGCCACAGCCCAAGAAGCGCTGCTCACCTCTTACCTGGGCGAACGGGGGGCAGTCCAAGCAGCATGCCTGGCAGACCAATGGCGGGCAGCACCGGCACCACCACCAGCACAACCTCCACCACCCACACCGCCAGCACAACATCCACCACCCCCATCACCGCAGCCCAGCTCGCCCGACACCAGCTCCACAAGCCCCAGCGAATCGACTTCCACATCGTCCAGCCCATCTGCCTCACCCAGACCGCCCCCACCAACCATGACACCCCCGCCAGCCGGGAACCATTTCCCTTCCCTCACACCACACCAGCTCCAACAAGCATTGCTAGCCCTGGACACAGTCGATGCTAACTCCATCCTTCAGCTGCGGCCATCAACCTACCGGAGCCCACCAACCTTCCTCCGGGGTCCATTCCGCACCGCACTTTCCACAGCTCTGACGTGCATTCTTGAGGCAAACACTGACCAACAACGCACTCGGGCATGGACACTCTGGTGTCTTCTTCCCAGAATGCTGTTGCACCGGGATCCCAACCTTCGATCCTTGCCCAAAAATCTCTGGCGTGACCGCTTCGTGCAGTTCCAACGTGGTAATTGGCAGCCGCTCCTACAAGGGGCCATCGCCAGTGCCTCCCCGCAGCGGCCTCCAACAGAAGCAACCAACTCCACAGCCAGCCCCCTCCACCCAGAGCAGCAAGCCAGCCGGGCAAGGGACCTGGTCCACATGGGCGAATTGTCCGCCGCTCGTCAAGCCCTGCTCTCTGAGCCTCTCGCCCCTGACACGCCTGCCACCTTGGAGGAGCTGCGCAACCCAGCACGGCGCCCACACCAGCCCTACCAGCCCGTCAGCCAAGAAGTCGCCAACTTCCATCCGCACCATCCCGTCCACATCCCCCGAGCCATTCTTACCAGCAACCTCCGCCGGGCTCGCAAGGGGGCCGCGCCAGGGCCTTCCGGCCTCACTTCAGAAGCACTCCGTCTCATCTTGGATGATGAAACCACAACCGACCAATTCGTCCAAGTCAGCCAGCTCCTCGCTCAAGGGTTGGTGCCCCCAGTAGCTGCACAACTCTTGGGCCTTGGCCGCATGGTCGCCCTGCTACGGTGACCTCTTCCGACGCTTGGTCTCCCGCAGCCTTGCCCAACTCTTCGCTAGTCAGCTCCAAAGGGCATGTCGCCCGTGGCAGTACGCTCTCACGACTAGAGCGGGGACGGAGGCGGTGGTCAAAGCCTTGGTAGCAAGCACGGAGTTGGACCCGGACCAAACCATTGTTTCGGTTGACGGCATTGGGGCATATGACCACGTCTCCCGCACCCGCATGCTAACAGGGCTCCTGCAAGTGCCCGAAGCTAACCAGTGCTTGCCTTTTGTCCGACTGTTTTATGCCAACCCATCCTGCTACGTGTGGCACGACCAAACCGGCACACCTTTCACCATCCACCAAGAAGAAGGGGGAGAACAAGGCGACCCCCTGATGCCGGCATTGTATTGCTTAGGGCAACACGCCGCCTTGGCCGCCATCCAGCAACAACTCAACCCCAATGAGGCCTTGTACGCTTTCCTGGATGATGTGTACCTTGTTGTCCCCTCCCAGCGGGTCGGGGATGTCCTACGCATCGTGCAGCACCAGCTGTCCACCCATGCCCACGTACACCTGCACCACGGTAAAACCCGCGTTTGGAACGCCGCCGGCAGAGCCCCGCCTTCCCTCCAAGAATGCGGCCCGGACAGTTGGGTCGGCAACCAGGCTTTGCCACGTCACAACCAAGGGCTTCAAGCCTTAGGCATCCCAGTCGGCAGTCCCGACTACATCCAACACCAGCTCCACCAGGTCACCCTCAAGCACCAACAGCTCTTCGACCGCTTGCCCACACTTGACGACCTCCAGGCTTCATGGTTGTTGCTCCTCTTCTGTGGCAGCCCCCGGGCTAACTACATCCTCCGCAACTTGCCACCACCCATAGCAGGGTCTTCGCAGAAAACCACGACTTAGCCGTCGCGCGCACCTTGAGCGAGCTCCTCGACTGCCAGAACAAGCACTCGCCAGAGCACACCTCCCTCTGGCCGCTGGTGGCCTGGGCCTTGTTTCGGCGACGTGCACCGCACCATCAGCCTATTGGGCATCTTGGGCCGACACGTTGCCCACACTGCAGGCACAAGCGCCACAGCTTTACAACGCCTTGCAGCCTAGCTTCGCACATCCTTCCACAGCCCCACCATCAGTCCAAGCAGCCCACGATGCCGCGCATCATCTCGAGCAACAAGGCTGGGCGACCCCTTCCTTGGCAGCGCTCCCCCAACAGCCCCACAACCCAGCCCCGCCCCTCCACGGATCCGGACCACCAACTTTTATCCGGGGCTG